GCACTGAAAAGTTTCAAAACACATAAAATATATCCCTTTACTAAACATTTTTGTTCTCAGGTTACAAAAAGTTTGACGTTTCACAGTCACAACGCTTAAATACATTGATCCAATCCTCTCTTTTCCCCCCCTTTAAATCCAACAGATTCTTTTTTATTGTGTGGAATGCTGAGCCCAGAAAATGGTACATTCCTTCAGTACAGTCACTGTGCCAACAAAGGGATCAAGGAAATGGCAGCTGCTGAATTAAAATGGAACACAATGGAACAATAAAACAAAGTGGAGGTTGACAGGGAAAAAGCCTCCTTCAAGTATAATATAGGTAGAATTTGGCAGAATTATTGAAGAGGTATTTGGCCACTATCTACATCATTTCCAGCGTATCATCTTCACACAACAGGAAATCAAACTGATGAGAGCAAGCAAGATGTGGGGGGGAGGGAGTGCAATCTTTATAGTTCTCAACATAAGCAAACTACAAGAGTGCATATGCAATGGACAAGAGAACTGAGATGGGATTTAGGAAGGTTGTAGTGTATAATTCAGAAAGACAAGAATCAAAGCTTAAGTATAGGACAGCATTCCTGAGCAATTGAAACAAATGGTCAGAAAAGTACTGAAAAGTTTCTTATTGAATAAGCTGAATTATTTCAAAATCTTTGTGAGTGTAGTTTCTTATTTTTAATTGATTTATTTTTCCTGGGTATTTTGTAAGTATTGAAAGGGGTCTCTTTATTGGAATATTTTTAAATTTTTAAATAATGTTATCATTATCACAGTTAGAAAGAGGCTAAATGTCATTCTAAAACTGATGAACCTGACAAAGAAAAAGTTGGGCTGAAAGTTTAGGGTTATACAACTGCTGAAGCTACAGCAAAGTGAATGTACTTTGATTATATCTGGACAATGACTTCCATCAAGTCAGAAGAAAATTATTTTTAAGTATTAGTACACATATGGCAGTCAGGAACAAAGATCTGTTGTGAAATTGTGACCTGAATTTTGTCATCCTGTGAAACTTGCCTTTTCCAAAAATAAAAATTAAAGTAACATTTGCATAGCCTTTGCTGAGCTTTGCAAATGCTTCATGTCATAGTTTATTAATACAATATATATTTTAATATAGTTTATTAAACTATATTAATATATTGTTGAAGGCTTTCATGGCTGGAATCACTAGGTTCTTGTGGGTTTTTTCGGGCTATAGAGCCATGTTCTAGAGGCATTTCTCTTGACGTTTCGCCTGCATCTATGGCAAGCATCCTCAGAGGTTGAGAAGGTCTGTTGGAAGTAGGAAAAATGGGCTTATATATCTGTGGAATGGCTGGGGTGGGGCAAGGAGCTCTTCCCTGCTGCAGTTAGGTGTGAATGTTTAGCTGATCACCTTCATTAGCATTTGAAGGCCTGCCTGAGTCTGGGAAAATCTGTTGCTGGGAGGTGTTAATCTGTGCCTGGTTTTTTCCTCTCTGTTGTTTAGCTGTTATAATTTTTGAGTTTTTTAATACTGGTAGCCAGATTTTGTTCATTTTCACGGTCTCTTCCTTTCTGTTGAAATTGTCCACATGCTTGTGGATTTCAATTCAATATTAATATAGTGGATTAATATAGGAGCCCCCAGTGGCATAATGGGTTAAACTCTTATGCTGGCAGAACAGAAGACCAACAGGTCGGAGGTTTGAATCCAGGGAGAGTGCGGATGAGCTCCCTCTGTCAGCTCCAGATCCCCATGTGGGGACATGAGGGAAACCTCCCACAAGGATAGTAAAATATTAAAACATCCTGGCATCTCCTGGGCAACGTCCTTGCAGGCAGCCAATTCTCTCACATCAGAAGCGACTTGCAGTTTCTCAAGTCGCTCCTGACATGAAAAAAAGAATACAGCACTAGGCCTGATGTCCAACTCCCCAAAGCCACTCAAAGCATATGTTACAAGTAGTGAGGCAGGACATTAAAATATAGCCAGTTCATAGGATGACAGTCCCAAATTTGGGATAAGGTTTTCAAGGAGGCTTCTTTAAATCCTAGCCACAGGCTCTTATAAAATGCATTCATCTAGAAAATGCAGTTTCAACAGCATCACTTTCAAACAAGTTTTGAAATATTTTATATAAATGTGTATTTGGAACAAAGGGACTCCAACTGAGTAAAAAGGATGGCTAACTGCATCTTGCAAGAGAGACTAAAATAAACTCTGTCACTTACTCTTTTGAATTCATTCAAGGAAGGGAGATGAAGTGTCATTTAGTATGCAGGAAACACAAATGTCTACATTTTCTTTAGGAATCCTGAGTAGGGTTTGGCACTCTTCCAAAAGTGCTCTTCAGTCATTGCAGCATTACATAGACAAAGCCATTGAAAGGAATAACGTGATCGGGTCTGGTAATTTGGAGGCATAAAAACAAGAAACCCTAGGTGTATTGCTTTTTTAAAATAGGTTAAATCCTATGCCTGAATATCAGCACATTTTTAACACATACATACATACATACATACATACATATATATATATATATATTAATTTTTTTTAGCATTCTACTGCTACATCTTAAATAATAATCTTTTGGGGTATATTATCTTCCATTGTACATTATGCAAATTAAGTAGCATTTGCAATTTTGTCCCTTAATCTGGATGAAACAATATAGAATCACACAGCACACTGTTTCATTTAAATGGTTCAGATAATGCCTTTTTGATTACTGATAATAAAAAGGAACTTTCTATCCATGTGATGTTTTGATGCCAAATGTGTTTAATTCCTGATATTGATCATTTTCAGACATATTGACTTCCACTCATGTTGCAGAATTGTAATCAAATGTGGCATGTCATCATGGTAGAAAACATTGACACTTCAATCTAGAGTGTTTCTGTGCTGGTAAATATCCTCCTTTAAGGGCTGCTACCAATGTTATAGTGAACTACCAAAAAGATTTTTCTTTTTACTGTTCTGGCACTACAAGTGGCCGATGCACAAAAAAGTACTTTGATAATCCTGTGGTTACTACACAGGATGAACAAAATTGGTAGCATTTTAAGGTCCAGATTGTATTACAAAGTGATGCTGATTTAATACTGAAGGATACGAGATACTTCATAAGAATTAAGGAAACGAGACTTAAGCTTGGGTTAGAATTTGGCCCAAAATGAAAAACAAATATGTGTATTACTACATCCATGCCAGATTATTAGGGAGGCAGGCAGAAAAGTAAGAAGTAGTAGTTGATTTCTACCTGTAGTAGAAAGGAAGTACTATTTCAAATTGGAAATTATGTCAGAAGTAGTTCTGATTTGCAAAAAGCCTGAATGATGAAATGTTGCTTTTTATAGAAATAGAGATTTTAGGAGACCTTGCTACAAAAACACATTATCGCACCCAAACTTACATCATATTACAGACTAAGGATTTCTAGCTGGTTCAATTTTAGATTGAAATTTTATTTACTGTGGGAATCACTTCTTGAAAAATATCTCTACCTTTGTTATTTGATGCAAAGGTGGTTTGTGAAGTTTAATGGAGTAAATGAAATGTGTATTCTGGCAAAAAATAGTACCTTAATCCTGTTAGTCAATTCCAATTTGAGCAAATCCATTGAATCCATTGTTGGATCATGAGTCAACAGACAAGTAATGTCTACTGATTGAATTAACCTGCTCTAGTTGGGACTAATAATAGTATGCAGGCATTTATAGTGTTTATTTTCAAGGTAATTCTATTGCAATGAGATGAAATGTAGAAACATGGGACACTTACAAGAACATGTGGCATTCTTTTATCTATTGGCAGCTTCTCGTTTGGGAAGAATTCAACACTTCTGAGATCATTAATCGCTTGTCTACTGTTTCTGACAGTTCATTTCTTCCCAGCTATCCAACATGACTTTGAAAAAACAACAAGCAAGGATATATTTCCATAGCTTCTGGCTTGCAAGGAAACACACGAATCACTCAACTGCTAGTCATTGGTAACCAATGAAATGATGGTTTAAATTACCCACATAAAACCTAGCCTAGAAGAGGTGATTTGTAGCCATGTACATATATAGTTCTTACTTGATCGTGTTTCTTACTGGAATGTTTACAGCAATCTGTTCTGACACTGCATTGATGTATAAAAGCATAGGTACTGAAAAGCAAGATGCTGAGGATTCTTGTCTTTTGCCAACATCCCTTTCCTACCCCATCTGAATTTGAAATGAGAAATATTGCTACCTGTCAATATAATCTCACAGAATCTGTAAAGGGAATTAATGCTGGAAGCATTTGATAGGAAAAGGAGAAAAGCTGTTCTTCTGGAGGAGACATTAATATTAGATTATTAATAAGAAAACAAAAATCTGCCAAATACCACAAAGAAAACAGTACTTGAATAACAATCCTTTCAACAGGATGTAACTTCAGGTGACAGAAGCATTCAATGAATGAAAAATAGCTGGAGCCAAATGAACTTTTTGATTTGCAGAGACATCTTTGCAAATAAGAATCCTCCCAGTCTGCTACATTTTAGTTGCACACATACACCAATTTTGACAACAACAACAAAAACAAAACACAAGAATACATTTCCCAATCAGTCTTTCTGTTCCTTCAGACACCTTTACTGGACCACAAGGACCGCCTTGCGCTGGACCAAGTCCAGGGAAAAAGTGGACTTTGCTGCATAAACACATCAAAGGATCAGTGATGTACTAATATTTTCATGACAGTGTGAAACAGCAAAAATGTAGAACTCATGTATATAAATAAAAACTTTTGTAATTTCTCCACTGAGAGTTTTTGAAAAAACAATAACTACATGTATCAGGCTTCATTCACCTTAATATCTTAGAATTTTAAAGTCATTTAAAAGTAAAATCAGTTGAGACTTGAGGGAATAGGGGCTGTCTTACCATTTTCAACTATGGTATTCCAAATTCATATCTCCAGTGACATTTCAGGCTACATCAAACTGCGAAAGATAAATTCTATCAGATCACAATTGGTCCTCACCAGGAGGGACATTAACAAGAAATTACTAATACTCTAGCAGCATAAATTTATGATCCTCTTATGCACCAAAAACATAAACATAGGGAAGCTTCTAAGAGATACCTTTAAATCATGTACAATTCAGCCCTACATTTCAAGTAGAAATAGCCAGGTTCAACCAAACTCAGTAAAGAATATATATGTTAGAAACACAATATTCTCATTTCTTAATAGCCTGTCTCTTCCATCAATTGTTACTAAAAAGCAAATGTTCCCTATTACTAGTATTGGTGCTGGTTTTACAAGAGTTTGTTTCCATGTATTAAAGGAATGACGTAGACAGAAATGTCATCTCCTGAACCCAGTCTATCGTTGGATATCCTCCATCCTCTGTCCTTCAGCACTCCTCTGGCTCGCATGACCAAATCCTGAGCTGCTAATGTGTACCTGTAGGTGAAGAAGAAAAATCCAGAGATTACATGTTGGAGAAAATGAAAGTTTCATTGCTTACAGGGCAGGTAAATCAATCCAAACATCCTGTATTGAAGTAAAACTCATCAGTTGTGCTTCCATATCAAAGGCTATTCAAACTGAGCAGACTGTCAACCCTCAGTGTGGGCAAGGTAGTTCACAGTAACATACGTCTAAGCACAGAGAAGTATTGGGCAATGGGAATGATTTCTTTACTTGGCAGAAGTATGTGGTAATTAAGCAGAGAACCACCACAACACAATGTTGGTGTATAGTTGTGGGGCTTATAAAAGAGTCAGAAACCTATAAACTTGTGACACTGAAAACTTGTGACACTGTCTTTCTGTACATGCCTATGTACACACACACCATCAAGTTGCCTGTCAAATTATGGTGACCCCATGGATTTCATAGGGTTTTTCTTAGGAAGGAATAGTCAGAGGTGCTAAATGTTTGGTTTTATACCTATTTAAAATTCATATATACTTGGGGTCACATAAGGGTTGGGAAAGGTTTAAGAAGGCCTGCTCTAGACCATACTCTATATTAGCGGAGCTTAGGGAACGGCAAAATATGAATTCCATCATTTAGTCAACTGTATGTTTAACTGGTCATCCATGTAATGAAATCCTACTTTACATTTCATATTTTGTAGTATAAGATAACAGGAATAGAAGAAGCTACCTTAAATCAGACCATTGATCCAGCTCACAGCATAATTTATAGTAATTCTCAAAGATTACAGGCAGAAATTTTTCCAGAATGACCTGGAGTTACCAGGGATTGAATCTGGCAACTCTGTGTTTTACCACTGAGCTACACTACAACGTTGCTTTTAAAACTAGAATCAGCTGTGCCTTCTTTCTTCATCCTTTCCATAAACTTTTCTTATGGGTTTGTCCTGCACTCAGTAAAAAGTACAATTTAGAAGCAGAAGAGTCCCAGTATTGAGGGAAAGGAGTAATCCAAATGAATGAATGAATAATCTTTTCCAGGAAGCAATTCTGTCACAGAGAAGCCAAACACAGAGAAAAAGTGAAGTCTGTATTAGCCACAAAAATGGCTGTGTGTGTGTCTGAACCATATCCTTGCAAAAGCAATAAAAACACCGGAGACTACAAACCTATGGGGGTCCTCAGGGTCACAATTTGGCAGGAAGTTAGTCACAGCTTCTGCCACTTCTTCATTTAATAGTACATCCCAGAGTCCATCAGTAGCTAAGATTAGCACATCATCTGGGCCATGTTCATACTGGAGAAGATCATACACTCGCACCTGAAAGAAAGGGGTAACCAAGATATTTTAATGAATAAAAATAATCTCCCTTCCCCTCTTTAGAAAAACAACTTAATTATCCTAGTAGGTGATTTAAAGTGCTGAAACACAAGGCCCCCACCCAATTCCTAGGCCATCTGAAAACACTACCCTTCAGAAGGAATTTGGTAAAATAAAAATTGCAAATGATTGAATGTATTAGACAGGAATTATATATTATATTAGGGGTCATGTCAGTCAATTTTTGTCTCTGGTAGAAATATTCTGCCTTGCTCCAGAGCCAAGGAAGAATAGTCATTTGGCAAACAACAGCAGGTATCATTTTGTATTCTGGTTGAACCAGAAGCAACCAAAATATGCAAAGTTTGGGGTATTCATGAGATTTGAAAAATTATCTCATGTTAGAATATTTCTCACAGTCCTGTTCCTGGCTTTATTGGGGGTTGGGGGGAAGCAATCTCTAACATCCCACTGAATGCGCTCTATAATATACTCCTTGGCTGAGTTTCCATATTTCACTGAACCAGCATGAAGAGAAAGGTCATTCTGTTTTTCCAAGCACGTCTTCTGTTAGATACAGGTATCATAGCTGCCTGCCTTGTACTCCCTGTTGTCAAACCAACTGTCTCCTTGAAGTCCAAAAATGAAACCTTCAGGAGTCCTTCTGAACTACTAACCGAGCACTTTAATCACTCCAGCAATGGCTGTATTTTCAAAGAAGTGAAGTAACCTTGTCATACTAGACAAGAAGAAATTATTATCTGGACTAGGATTTAGAAGCAGCACCTGGGCAGTGATGCTGCATTATCCTTGTAGTTGACAGGGTCAGGACTCCACTGATGTGCTAGAAAATACATTTGGCATGACTCTGAGAGCAATTTATCTTGTTTGTGCTGCATTAATCTTAGAAACTGTGGAAAACGAAATGCTTATAGGAGTCTTCTCCAACCTCGTACTTCTATATGTGTTGAACTACAAATCCTGTAATCATCAAAGCCAGATAGCCTGGATTTGTAGTCCAAGACATCTGAAAGTGAGGATATAAATCTTAACTCATTTTGTTCTCATAATAAAAATGATAAATTTCCAAAGTGGACAATATTATACAATAAGTTTTGCAGATTTGCTGAGCTTTCTTTTTTGAAATGATTTGATTTTTACAGAAAGTCCCCAAATGTAAATTGCAATTATTTGCAATTATTGGCTCCCTTCCCCTCCCCTGCCCCCATCACAGAAGGCTGCTATGCAGAGGGCCAAGGTCCCTTATTGCAGTTATGTCCCAGTGTAAACCTTCTATCTGTCTTCTAATGGATAAAATTTGATTTTTGAAAGGAAGCAATATTTTAGTTTCATTTAATAAAGTAAAAAAGTGCTGTCAAAGATTAGAAACCAATGAGGAAGAAAAACCCAAATAGACGCCTAACTGTTGAAAACAGAATTCAAATGTCGGTAAACTCATTGCTGAGGTAGATATCTCCGGCATTTAGACACCAATATAAAGATAACACCGGAAGACCATAAATGCCACCTACTAAAATGGGGCTCATCATTTCCTCCCTCAAATAGCTTTTTATATGCTTTCATGGATTTACACTTCCCTTCTGCTCAAATATCAGAATGTCCTACCAAGTACATGGAGCCTCAATCTGTTGAGAGCCATGGAGATTTATCTACCTGACCAATAAAAAAATGGCATCAAAAGCCACATTTCAGTGCAATTATTTTTAAAAAGAGTTGTATGTAGTTTGGATGGGAATGGGTGGGAATGAATTAAGCATAGCCAGACCTGGTGATGAAATTGATTTGCAATCTTGAGAAACATATTCTAGGACATGTAATTTTAATGCTTTCAGATTTACATAGGAAATTGGGTGCAGATATGGCCTAAAGGAACCAGATCCCATCCCATCTAAGAAACTAAGCAGAGTCAGCTCTGGTTAGTAACTGGATTGCAGGCTGCCAATGAACACAGGTGCTAAAGCCTATATACCAGAAGAAGGAACTGGCAGAACCACCTCGAAGTATTCTTTGCCTGAGAAAACACAATTAAATTCATAGGGACAAGTCAACAGCTAAATTCATACAAACATGGTTGGGATTCCTATGTTCTATCTCTAAAACTCAAGCACCAAGTTGTCATTCATTCATTGTTTAATTAGTTATGAATTAAATTTATAACCTACCTACAAATTGCCACAAATGCAAAATCATGCACAACATAAGCAGAAAATCAACATCATGCTAAATGTATGACACGTGAAGACAATTGCAGCCAGAAACTCTGCACAGTGAATATGGCAATTATCAAACACAATCAGCTGAAGCTATCTGCTGCATTAATGGGCAAGCAACATATAACTTAGGAATAGCTACTTAATGTATGAAGGCCCATGTAAAAACAACATACATGAAGCTGACTTTCGGTGACCCACTGCACATAAAAACAAGGAACCATTTGACCTTTATCTCTTAAGTAATGGGTGAGAAGAATGTGTTGTCTTGAGGACCAAAAATAGCACCAAAACTGTATCAGCTTCAGAGATGAGCTTGAAAAGTTCATTTTTAAAAGTACAGTAATTCATTCCTGTCACCTGTTATTGGGAAATTAATTGTGGTTACTAATATCCCTATTTAGAAATTGGCTCAATTCATTACTTGTAATGAACAAGGGCCTTGGGATTGATGAAAAAACAGCAGAAAAATGCCTCTAATATAAAGTTTTAAAAAGGAATGAGATAATGATATTAGTGTCAGTAGTTCAGTGACTTTGCTGCCTTTACCTTTGATGTGTCTTCATTATAGCTGTTCCCTCCCACACCAAAATAACTTATTACCACATTAGTTGCACTATATACTTTCAAGCATTACAACTCTAATCAATGTAAAAAGTAAAGTTCCAGGGCCGAAGAACACTTCCCTCTTTTTGTTGTGCTGGTTTGCTGCCATTTCCCAGGTTTAACATCTCCTAAAACAGACTATATTTCCTTTGGGTAAGTTGCTGTTGTATGTTGTTTCAAGGCATTCAGTGCAGCATCCAACTAGAAACAAGAACACCTACTATTGGAATATACATCTATCTACCACCTGTCTTCTTTAGGCTACATCCAAGTAGATATGCTAATAATCTGTGTAGATTCAAAAGTTGTCATTATCTTTTTCATCCCTACTAGTCTTGGGTAACCTGCTTCCCTATCAACTAGAGATTGTCTGAATGCTACAGTTAGTCCCAACGAAAGCTGAAATAACAGGATTTATGTTAACTCATAGGATTTACCTCTAAATTTACCTAACTGGTTAACAACTGGCATGATAGGTTTATTTTAAAGGGGACTATCTAACAAGGTTTAGCCCATATATCATACAAACATAATAGTATGAATGAGAGGAGGGGAGCAAATCTCATCTACTATTTACCCTTGGCTTAGGAAGCTGATTGTGAATATTCTCTAAATGAGTTAAAAACATCTTTTGCAAGCTATACAAAGTTCAAATGATGAAATGCAATTCTTCAATTCTGAAGTAGCCTGTTCAATTCCATGGAATTTAAGAGAATAGTCGATGGAGGCAAAGCCTTGCACTAGCTACTTTACTACTGATCAATGAAGCTACTTCAGTGAAATAATCCCTCTCTTAATGGCTTTGTACCTTTTTATGCGAAGCATTATCTAACTCAATTTTCACAAACAAATAGGCAAGCAGATTTCAGTATCACCCAAGGGATTTAGATGTAGATAACAGTGCTGATCCTCAGCACTGTTATCTGCAAAAGTTATCAACCCCTTTCATGGCGCTTCAGGGTTGTTGTTTTTTTAATACAGAAAACACCAAACAACATCATTCTGTTTTCTGCATGCAGCCAACTTTGAGCACCAAGTACCAACTGACCACTTTACAGTTCTATATGTTTCATCAAATGTTTTATGGGCTTTCTAATACCTCTAAATGGCCATTAAATTAATATTTATTCTCTAACAATCCTAGGTTGCAATTCTGAACTTATTCACAAGAGAGAAACACAACAAGGCTTACTTCAAAATACAGATACACGTAGATCTACTTCTACGTAACAATGCATAGGGCACTTTTAAAGAGTGAGACAGAAGTGTGAGATATGACCATATCTTTCTTTAACATTATCAAGTTTGTTTGTTATTCCACCCATCTACTAATCATTTTTGAGGTCATCAAAAACATAAGATGTGGAAGATAACTCCTTACCCATTCCACGTGCAAAACTGACTAGGAATGGAACAGCAACTTCCACCAGACAAAAGAGAAAGCTAAGTAGAAAAAAAACAGGCCATCTTCCAATAGAAAGGAATGACGGGCTCAGGAGGACTTTCCTTACAATTCCCCAACACCTGCTGCCTGAAGAGGGTTTTTTTTTTTTACTGTGTTCAAAGATTTAAACAATAATAATTCCCAGTGTTGACCCTTCAGCCTGTCCCTGTTAGAAAGATGTGAATATTCTACCTCCGGAGCTGAAGACAAAAAAGGCTTGATGTAGATGTTTGAGTCATGCACCTTCAGGTCATGATCACCAAGTCCTCTCGTCACCCCAATTGTTGCCATGACACGAGCCTAGGAATAATGAAACATGTCGTAAGAAACAAAGAACAAACTAACACCAAGTACTCTTCCAAAAAGCATCTTATTTTCCCAGTCATCAAAACAAAAAGCTTGACAAAGAGCTTGGGACAACTGCTTTTCTAGACTGCAACCTCCACCCAAACCCTTGGATTCTGTAGCTCCATTTTTTTCGGAATTCTGATCTAATGCTGTACTTCCTGAAGGAAGGATGTTTGCTTCCATGAAGAAAACATCGTTTTCCCCACTTTTCCTGCTAAGGTTTTTGAGCTCCCAGAAGATGGTACTCAGAAGGCAGATGACATTTGTACAGTGGTATGGAGTTCAAGGAACTTATGGACAAAGTTCTCAGAAGGAGAGATGGACAAAAGGTCAATTAGCATCTACATGTGGATCACTGGATTTGTTGGGTTTCATCCCTAGATTACACAAGTTTCTTTTGTCATCAAGTTTCTAATCCTCAATGAGTAGGATAGAGATTCCTTCTCCAACATTCCTATGCATGTTTCCCAAAAAGGGCTTTGTCTTTAACTCTTCCTGCTAGCCACTGTCTCCTCCCCTTTTGATGATGTAGTAATGGAATTTCTGTGAGGGAACTTCATCTTAAGTTTAAACTGCACTGGATTGACCATGTGGTCTCCACCATTTTTAGGGTCTGCTTTTCTTTCTCCCAGTGAGGATGCACATTTTGCCTCTCTATAGGCAAAATGTAGCTACATGGATTTTTTTTTACCTTTTATCTTCTTTAGAAGATGAGATTTAGTAAGCTGCTTAACTCCAAGACTTTTCTATCAAGAAAGTATTTCATTTTTACTTCAATAAATATTTTTGAACCAAACTTCTGACTCTGCAGTTCTAAGCCATCCTAAATAACAGAAGCCTTCTTTTGCTCACCACATATAAGTTACTGCTTGTTATGGAGTTTAGTCCTTGTACTCTGCTATATTTTGGTGGAATTGCCCCAACTGAGGGTTATCTTTGAGCCTAACAGTTTGGATTCCCCAACAGGATTTAAAATGTTTCAGTCTATTAACTAAAGCTTATTTATATGATATTGTTTTAAACTGTTAACTTTGTTTACATATTATTTGTAAGCTGCCCTGAGATATTTTCATAGAGAATGGACTATAAATACTTTCATAAATAAATAAATAAATGACCGATAAGCATTTCTGAACTCCCAATTGTTTAAAAAAACCAGCAACTAGAAGTGGTTATCACATTTGATCCTCTCCCCCTCATTTAAGTTGCTGACAAATGTGGACCAGAATATTTTTGTGAACAGACCAGCAAGACTGGTTCTGATACTCTACAAAGTCCTGGGTCAAGCATATTATCTGAAGCGCCAGCTTCATTTGGTCTCAGTCTGTTCTTGGTTCCAGATAATTAAACTCAGTGTTCATGTCAAAGAAAAAGTAGAACCTACAAGCCTTAAGTAACAAGGGAGTAGTGCAAACCACTAGCAGTAAAATTCATACTATAATTCTTGTGACTGCTCTTAAAAATGCCAAACACTCCCAAACCTGCCTCTAAAATACTCCAATAATTAAATTCAACATGCTGGGCACACAAAACAAAGAAAAATGGATTTCAAAAGCTGCAGGTGTGAAAGCACATTTGAAAACCAAAAATCCAATTAAAACATATTGATGAGTTATAGCACATTTGAACCCTGCAAACTCAGATTATTCTGAAGACAAAGGAGGGATTTTATATAAAATTCAAGAAAGCAGTCAGATTATTGGCAATGAACTGCTGAGAAACAGAGTATGCATATATCTAATACACTAGCAGCCTTTAAATCTCAGTGTCCTTTTATTGATCTCAGAGCCCTGTCTATGTGGCTTGCTGGGATGGATACAAATATTCTTGCTGTTCCTAATTATGCGTTTGATAACATGTCGCTACTTCAATGGCTTTTCTTCACATTTTTTAAAAGAAATTGTATTGAAATTAGTGAAACAGTAAGCACAACTACAAAAACAGTAGTACAATGTTTTTATGGACTACTGGTACCTCACCAATGGAACTCAATCTTATTTGAACCCAGCAGACTGAACATTTTACTCAAGCAACTTAAAACTAAATTATGCCTTTTGCCTTTTCCTATGTTACTGAGTTACACTGAACTCTGCATTCAAAGCAAATGGAAAAATGAAACAAAATGTGCCTTTTCAAATCGTCTCCTTGTTTTGATTGTACAAAGACTTTCTGTATATATTTCAGATTTCAATATTAATGTCAAAAATACGTAGTTTTACATAGGATTTGTGCTACATTAGAACAGTAAAGACAAATATCACTTAAGTAAAATAAACATTAAATGTTAAATAACCAGAAAAATAAAATAAGGTGTAAACACTAAACTAATCTGGGAATCTGCTATTGCAACACATCCAATGAAGTGGTTTAAAACCAGTATTAAAAAATTAGGACACTGAAATCAGAAAATTCAGCAGTAAATGCTCCAAAACTGATCGAATTACTGCATCCTTCCCCTCCATCCTCCCACATTATAGACAGGGTGAGGTGATTTATGACACACACAATATTATTTCAAGCTGACAGAACGATGAAATAAAGAGATAGAGAGAAAGGAAAACATTGGACAGCTCGGGGCTAAACTGAGTGGTAAACAGAAAATGACCCCGTATTCTTTTGAAATGGCAAAACACTTATTCTTACCTTCTTGCCTTCGCCGTATATAAGAGGAAACTTCAAGTCATCCTCTTCAATGGTTTTGTATGCCCTGTGGGAAAATACACAACATTTTATAAAGCTTGGACTCAATTATTGAGCCAGTTGCCTGACACTAGTTGGTAGCATTATTTCTGTGAGTTAATGCTGCATCTTTACAAAGGACTCCTGATCACCTCCTCAAGCATTTGCTTCCGTAATAAATATTATAGATGAGCATTAAACACATAGTCTTTTGGCACTTTGAAGAGTAACCAATGGCCTACAGCTCAGATGTAGGAAGTGTTATGTATTGGAAGAAAGGAGATGCAGTTCACAAAAAACATTGTTCTTTATCTGCCTTCAAGTTGACTCCAATTTATAGTGACCCTACAACAGGATTTTCTGGGCAAGATTTATTCAGTGAAGGTTTGACATTGCTTTCCTCTTAGGCCCCATCTACAGTGCCCTATATTCCAGGATATGATCCCAGATTATCTGCTTTAAACAGGATTATATCAGTCTCCACTGCCAGATAATCTGGGATAAACAGATAATCTGATAAGCAGATAATCTGAGATCAGATCCTGGGATATAGGGGCAGTGTGGAAGGGGCCTAAGAGTGAGGATATGTGACTTGTCCAAGGTTAGCTGATGTTTCCATATCTGGATGGGGACTCAAACCCTGGTTTCCCAGAGTCCTAGTTCAGCACAAACCATTATACCACATGAGCTACTCACAAAATATATGGCATAACAAAAGGTCTTACTTCTTGAAAAGACACAGTGATTGAATCTGTGGATGGGAAGACTGGCTGTATGCCCCAAACAGAATTCTGGCCAATCTCCGCCCATTACAGTTGTACTGTTTCATGTAAGCTTATAGACACATTCATACAGCTATTGTTTCTCAACCCGCATGGATTCATTAAATCAAGTGCTGGAAGAGAATTCACACTTCAGTCACATTGCTTCAACACTTTGGACTAGCAGTTGGATACAGACCATTCTACCTTTTTGTTTAAATAACAGATAGGAAAAGAAACTGGAATGCCCTGCAAGACACAGCACCACCAAATAGTAGTAACATTCCAAAATTACATTATTACATTACATTATTAATTGGTAGTGTTGCAAGCAGGAGGATTCAAAGCTCAAACAGTGGAGCTGGCTGTTATATCAGTTCTACTGACTGCCAGTCTGCTACCGAGCACAATTCAAAGTGCTGGCTGTAGCCTATAACAGTGGTTCTCAACCTGTGGGTCCCCAGGTGTTTTGGCCTACAACTCCCAGAAATCCCATCCAGTTTATCAGCTGTTAGGATTTCTGGGAGTTGAAGGCCAAAACATCTGGGGACCGACAGGTTGAGAACCACTGGCCTATAAAGTCCTAAATGGCTCCGACCCAGCTTACCTGTCCAAATGTATCTCCCTCTATGATCCATTTCAGAGATTAAGATCTTGGGAGGCCCTGCTCTTGGTCCTGCCTCTTTCACAGATGTGACTGATGGGGATGAGAGACAGGGTCTTCTCAGTAGTGGCCCCTTGGCTATGGAACTAACTTGCCAATGAAATTAGAGCAGCCTCCTCCTTCCTGACCTTCAGGAAGGAGGTAAAAACCTGGTTATGGACCAAGCTTTTGGCTAGCAAGTTAGTGCAATAGGAGTATATGGAATTGTGAAATGACTAATGATACGGCCTTGGATTTGACTATGGATGATGTGATTTTAATAATTGTTTTAATATTGCTGCTGGTTTTTTGTTTTAATGTATATGTCTATTTTTACTGTATGTTTGTATGTGCATGGCATCAAATTGCTGCCTTTTTGTAAGGCCACTCTGAGTGCCCTTTTTGGCGTGAGAAGGGCAGGATGTAAATGTAGTCCAGAAATAAATAAATAATTTATGAGCCAGCTCTTTAAAAAAATAGAAAAACGGAGATCCATTCAGAACTTAAATATATTAAAGCAAGTTTCAAACCATAGATAGCATCAACCAGTTTACTCAGTGCCAGTGTGGCTAGTCTTGTGTAAAGACTTCGAGGTAATAAAAAATGAACCTGACCACAAATTCTTCTAAGGGTGTAGTAATTGTACACTGTAGAATTAGTGCAGTTTAACATCATTTTAATTCCCATGACCCAGTATCACTTTAACTTCAATGGAATCCTGAGATCTATAGTTTGGTGAGGCACCAGTACTCTTTGGCAGAGGAGGCTAAAGATTTATAAAACTACAACTTCCGGTATTCCATGTCACTGAGCCATGGCCATTACAGTGGTGTCAAGCTGGATCCATTCCACAACGCTGAGGCATCCTAAAACAGCCTTCTCTCACCTTCACTGTCCTGCAATTCTCATAATCCTCCAAACTAGCAGAGCATAGCTGGCTAAAACAGAAGTTGCAGTCCAATAAAGCTACAGGACACCTGCTTGAGAGAAACTGACCTAAAACACACAGCTGGAATCTATTAAGTGAAAGCTATTATTTTTCTAAGTCTGAGAATTCAGAAAGGAGATCAAAATAAGCTGTAAACCATTGTTTGCTAAACTTGCCCTGTAACGTGAGCTTATGTACACACACGTATTTCTTCCATTGGTCTCTATTACACAGCTACAACCTTCTAGCCTATTTCACTGGCTTTTACGCAATAAAATGGTGTTTATGCTGTCTGTCTTTTTTATGGGAAGAACACGGTGCATAAAGTATACTCTGCCACTGCTGTCATCCCATAAACAGAGACAGAAGAGGAAATCCTTTTCAAGTGGACCAGCATGACACCCCTCAAGAGATCTATTCGTTTCAGAAGCAACAAACAATAAAATCACAGCTTAGTGGCAGGTTTCCAGTTTACCCCTTGTTTTCTCAGCCTCTGAAATGACTCAATGGTCTCCAAATCATGACAAAAAGTGTACATCGTAAAGGTGAAGCTTAAGATCTGGAATCTTTTTAAATTCTGCTAGCACCACACCATTTAGGAAAAAGCAAAACCAGGATCAGATATAGTCGCAGCCACACTTTGTGAAGTTGCTGCTCTCTTCTCCTGCTGACAACCTTCCAGTATTTCTGAAGTGCTGTCCAACTGGACAGGAGCACTCATTAAAGGATAAGTATATGCACAAATTTGCATTTGGTTTCAAATTGAGATGTAAAAACGGCAACATTCAGAAGTTTGAGAAAGAAAGGCCAAACAAGTTAATTCTCAATGGAATGCTCCAAATAAAAAAGAATAAGTTGAAAAGCTGATACTCAAGAAACCCTGGAGTGATACAGGAGGACCACCCACTAGCTCTGTCCTGGGAAAAATACTGAAATACACTATGGTGCCTTTTCTTTCCTAACCTGCCAGGGGAGCATTTAGCTCAGTGGTTCTCAACCTGGGGTCCCCAGATGTTTTTGGCCTTCAACTCCCAGAAATCCTAACAGCTGGTAAACTGGCTGGGATTTCTGGGAGTTGTAGGCCAAAAACATCTGGGGACCCCAGGTTGAGAACCACTGATAGCTTAATACCTCAGACAGCTCCCTCCCCAAGTTTTTAGCTGACTCTCTTAGATCAGATGGAGAAAACCATTAGCGGTGTACTCAAAAGGTATAATGAAATATGTAGCTCAACACCAGCTAATGAATCAGTCTAAATAGCTCCAGATCCCACCCTGACCATCAGGCAGGACCAGGCTTGCACTTTACCCACTCCCCGGGCCCTAGTCTACTTCATTGTACTAGCCCAGCCCTCTCATAGTTGTTGAGACCCACTCTGGAATTCTGGCCATTGGAAGCTGAGCTTGCCCGATGGAATTAGTACTGAACTGGTTTATGATTTTAAATATGTATGGCTGTAATATAGTATTGTGTTTATGTTTTTATAATTATTTTCCAAATGTTTTTATGTCGGTAATTGCAATGCTTTACCTAGGCTGGAAACTGCCCTGAGTCCCCTCGGAGAGACAGATATTGTATACAGATATAAGTATACAAATATTTATTACTTTTATTTTCACATAGACTTATAGACCATGTGTTTTTACGATGGCATTATAATACCATTTAACTATTTTAAATTCTTGATTTTAAAAAGTGTACATAACAAGAAGATACTGTGGACACATTATTTGAAAAAGGTGTGGCTGGGAGGACTCTTGGAAATGTAAAGTTATATGCCACTATCAGGGTTTCCCCCCTACTATGGGCATACAAGAATTTCAGACTTCAGGTGCTGAAAATCCTACAAATGTTATGATGCCTTTTCCAAAACACAAGTGAGAAATTGCACAATTATTCATTTTAAAAAAATCATCACATCTGCATTTGATGTGTTGTCAAAGGCTTCTGCATTTGACCTTGTTTAAAGGTCGACCTGATCCAATACTTGCCTATTAAAATAATACTTGGAAGTTCCCAAGCACTAATTTCTAATTTGCTTTTGTTGTAATCTGTCTTCAGATTACTACAAATGAGCTATTCTTAAGTTATGTTGTGTCACCTTCATCCTCCAATTGTGTCATCCTCTAGGACACAATCTTGTTCATGCACCACATTAGAGTTTACATGCAATTTCTTAGAAGAAAGAAATGGCAGTGGGAAAGGAAAAAGCTAAGCCAAGGCACAGTATGTCTTACAAACCAGCCAAGAACCCACAGTGGTGAAAAAAACCTAAATATCTGCAGTTGATATATAAATGCGAAGGCACTGAGTTGCTTTCATACAATAGGCAAGGAAATTTTGACTCTCCGGATGTTTAACACTTCAACTTCCAGAAGCTCAACCAATGATAAGAACACATGGATGGCTGCAGACCAAAAAATCAAAGATACATCATTCCAGAAAGGATTTCAGAGAGGCCTATATAAAGACATATATAAATTTATTTATATTTACTATATAAATACAGTAAAACAACATATAATTTAAACACAAAAATAAGAATGGATGGTTACTTCAGTCAACTAGCATTAAAAACATTAGATGTGTAAATGATAAAATAAGCACAAAAAATTAATTAAAAAGATTCCAGAGTCAGGAGAAGAGGACAAGACACTAGCCGGTGGGAGGAAAAGGTACAACTTCAGTCCAGAACACTGTACAGACAAAGTAGTATTTTAATGAGAGCGACTGAGATTGCGTGCAAGGAGGACCACCCAGCAGGTTTCACAGCTGAATGGGAAATTGAACCAGAATTTCCCAAGCTGGCAGCTTAGCCATAGCAAGAGTGACATCCAGAATATTAAAGACTTAAGAATATGATGAATAGAAGTATTAAGGTAGAAATTAGAAGCAGAGATTTCAAGGTCTTTCCAATCTGTTAGAGGTGGAAACCCAAACAAAACGAAATAAGACACTACACAATAAGACATGCATTTGGAAGTTTAAAAAATGAAAAGGCACTACAAAGATTCACAGAAAGAAGCGCACTATCAAGGTAAACAAACTTTATATTGCTATTCCTTCTTTTGTAATTAGGCCAGGGAGAAGGGGTGGCTATGATGCTTTTCCGATCTCTCTCCATCCAGTTCAGTCTACTCCTGCAACCTGTCTCTGTTCCTCTGGCACACAAGCTCTTAAGGGAAGGAAGAGCCATCCATCATTGCCAGGAGATGTGCTGTACGCAGCAGGTTAGATCTCTTCCCCTGCTGTTCCTGCCTCTATAGCTTGCAAATCTTGGAAAGATGCAGAACATGCATGTTGTGAACAGCCATTTATCATCACTGAACTGTTTCCTATATAGAATCCAGGGAAAAAACATACACTTTGCCTGCATGTATGGAGTTGGGAAACAAAGAAAGGATTTGGGTTAATTCTGATTTTTAATTCAGTCTTTTTCTGTCAATTTGTCATCCACTACAGATTAATGATCTGGAAACCAAACAATTACACTTTTCCCATATTTTGGTCTGACAGAAATTTTATTTTGGTCTCATACATTACTGTATTTCATAAAATGTAAGATGCCATCAAATGTGAGTCACACCCTGTTTTTGAAGCTTCACTTTTGGAAAAAAAAATCTTTGAATGTTTTTCATAATTTCCTCTGCATACACATTTCTTGTCTTCATCTTGTCTTCATGAGTCTATTTTACTAAATTTATGGACCCATTGCAGAGGCAGAGGAAGCAGCACTTAGTTCTGCCAGACCAGTAAAGCGCTGTCTGGTTAAAGCTAAGGACAAAATGGTGGTGACTGGTATTACTGTCTGGGGCTGGGGCCCTTCCTCCCCATCTCCCTCTCCTGGAGATATTACAATGTAAAAAAAAAACTTCTAAAAATGGTGAATCTAAGGCACCATCATTTCATAAGGTGCTCCTCATTTTTGGAGCCCCTAAAATGGGAAAAGCATGTGCCTTAGAAGTACAGAAATGAATTACTTCTTGAAATTATCTTGAAAGAAAGCTCTCTTTCAAGATAATCAAAGTAAAGGTTGCTTTCCCACAAACTAGGAATTGATCCCATTCCTTTGCAGACATGTGAGACCCGCAAAGCTTGTGAAAGCTATTTTTCAGACTTTTTTGTATGTCAGGAGCGATTTGAGAAACTGCAAGTCACTTCTGGTGTGAAAGAATTGGCCGTCTGCAAGGACGTTGCCCAGGGGATGTCCGGATGTTTGATGTTTTACCATCCTGTGGGATGTTTCTCTCATGTCCATGCACGGGGAGCTAGAGTTAAGACGGGAGCTCACCCCACTCCCCGGATTTGAACCGCCAACCTGTCAGTCAGCAGTACTGCCGGCACAAGTACTGTTTAACCCATTTCACCACTGGAGGCTCCTATGTTTCTGAATTCCTGCTAAAGCAAAATAAATACGACTGTGATTTTGACTGAACATTCATACTATGTAGAAAACCAACATCCCCATACAGAATATTCATTTGGGGTTTGTGTTGATTGAGCACAAGGTACAAATGAGCGGGTTGTAACAGAAAGTTGGCTGCTTGCCCATTTCCTTTTGTACCCCAGAGACAAACTATCAGGGAAAACCACGTATCTGAGTAAGAGCAATAAGAGTAAGCTAATTAGACTGACTGGTGGTGGCTGACAGATAAATTCAGGTCTGGAAAAGGGAGACTGTCATTTTAAGCACTGCCTTGGGATCTATGGCTAAGATAATGAGGATTGCCAGTTGGGTCTCTTTTTTATTATTGGGGAGCAGGATCCTCTGGAGAACAAAACTGGAGGTTTCTGCAACAGGGCTTCTGTGTTCAATTCAATCAATCAATTTGGATTAAAGTGGATGGGAGGAGGCCAGGCGAGTCTGGTGTTGGCTTCATAAAATATTCTGTGGCATTTCTCTATCTACTTATCCATTTCCCTGTCAGACTGCCTGGCTGGGGCTGTCAGTGGACATTGAGCAGAACAATAAAGAAAACAAGAGTGCCCACAGCTACAATATTTGTTGAACACAACTTGCAAGTCAGACAAAGCAAAGCTCACATGAGCTGCCGCTTTTAGTCGAGGGGCCCTGGGAATAAGTGTGTGTGTGTGTGTGTTTGTGTGTGTATGTATTTGACAACTAGAATTTCACAGCTTTGAAACTATCTGCAAGAGAGAAGTAAAGGTCAACTCAGACAAAATGTTAAAACATATGCATACAAAACAGAAAACAAAGATTACAATGCTGGTGTGTTTTTTTAAAAAATGAGAGAGACTCAAGAGATCTCATCTACGAGAAAGGAAAAGCAATACTATGTAAACTGACTGCAACCCAAGAAAGCAGATAATACTGATGCTAAAGAAACAACAGGGTTTGTTTCCCTTCATTTTGGAGAGGGGTTTATCATTTGTCCTGAGGGCTATAGCCTCTGAAATCTCCCTCATATGAACATAAAGACATGGTGCCTACTGGGGGCTAAATGGCATTGTGTAACAGCAATAGTGGTGCAGAAGGTTAATACACTGAGATGCTGAACTTGCTGACCAAAAGGTTGCTGGTTCGAATCTGGGAAGCGGGGTGAGCTCCTGCTGTAAGGCCCAGTTTCTGCCAACCTAGCAGTTCAAAAACATGTAAATGTAAGTAGATCTTTGGCTGGAAGGTAATGGCACTCCATGAAGTCATGCTGGCCACATGACCTAGAAGGTATCTATGGACAATGCCAGCTCTTCGGCTTAGAAATGGAGATGAGAACCACCCCCCAGAGTCAGACATGACTTGACTTAATGTCAGGGGAAACCTTTACCTAACATTAAAACTTCACAGAATACAGGTCTTCCAACAGCAAGGCCAAACTTTACAGGTTGTCGTGTCCAACAAGCATCAACTCCATCTTTGCTTGGCTTACAAATCTCTTTCCAGAAAGCACTCCTAGTTTATTTTGGCCATAGCCATATGATGCAAAATGCAAAGGGCACAAAGGGCAGGGAGAAAGCGGTTTAAACCAGAACTAGAATGTGTCAACTTCTTATATAGATATGACAAAGCAGAGAGATCACCCTAGAACCATTCCAGGCAGATGGTCCAGATAGGTAAAATGACTGATTTACAGAAAGAAGCACAGCAAAAACAAGCAATTTCCTTTAAAAAATAAAACAAAAAAAATCAATGCTCCAACGAAGTCTGGCAGTGGGACCTGAGCACAATTTTGGCAATGCACCCTGCATTTATTAATTTGTTTACAGTATCCATATACCACTTTTCTCACCCCTGGGGGGACTCAAAGTGATTTACAAAAATAATGGCAAAATTCAATGCCTTACATACATAAACCAAATCATAAATTGAACAACGTATCACTAAGTATAAAATACAACAGGAGAAATTGACCATAAGATAATAGGACATTTAAACATGAAGTATAAAAATTAAGAACACCTAATAAAAACATGAAAGTCACATGATCCAAACTCGTAGACTGAGCCATTCCAGATGTCGATTACACATATTCCATATTTACTTCTTGTACTGCATTACTTTACTAGTCATAAGGTTGGTTCCACAACCATGTCTTTGTTCTCTTTCTAAAGGCCAGGAGGGAGGGTGCTGATCTAATCTCCCTGGGGAGAGAGTCCAGAGTCGAGGGGCCACCACTCTGGGAGATACATTTGGACAGGTAAGCTGGGCCGGAACTAAAGCCAGCACTTTGAATTGTGCTCAGTAGCAGATTGGCAGCTAGTGGAGCTGGCATGACAGGGGAGTTTGTTTCTATGATAAATTGCTATTTTACTGCTACTATTGTGCTATCACAGTGGTGGCATGGCAAGGAGAACAGGTCTGCCCACCTTTAGTATTTAAAGGAAGTCCTTATTTTGGAAAAGACGTTGTGACATGATGGCAATGAATGGGCACATCTGTGCCCGAAAAGGGGACACATTCTTACCAGCCAGTCATGTTGAAGTCTCTGTAAAGCATCCTTTTTCCAACTTCCTTACGCTGAACCCTCCTTGGAAACTCCAAGTGTGTAAACTCATTTCCCAGCAAATGGGGCTGCATATATGCCTACAGGATTTAAAAAAGAAAGAGAATATAGTGACAAAACAATCTTTCTTGAAGTTCCCCCAAATTGTCGTTCTCCTAATGTTCAAAGAGAAGTGCTAACAATAAACAAATGGCAATGAACAATATTCCAGAAGAATATGATTATAAATAGTTTTCCATGCCCATTTGGAAACTTATTTTACCATTCTGCAGGTCTTGCCATTTACAAACACTCAGCTTCTTTTGCTAATTATTTACAACTCAAAACAGCTTGTTTTCATATTTTGTATTATGCTGACCTGGTGGAGACCATCGCCCTGTGGCTCTTCAGCCATATCATATTCTTTTGGATTAATTCCACATTTTCATCAAGTTGCAGCAGCACTACTGAGAGATCAATTTGTTTATTTTGTTTTATTTTGTTTTGCCTTTATATTGATTTGCCATGTTATTTTCTGGTTTATTTTTACTCTGCATATATTATTTATTGTATTTATTTATGCCGCCCAAGTCCTTTCATGGAGATGGGTTGAGGTATAAATAAAGATGATGATGATGATGATATAATGATGCTGATTATTATTATTATTAAAGCCTCTGGTGACACAGTGGGTTAAACTGCTGAGCTGCTGAACTTGCTGACCGAAAGATCTCAGGTTCAAATACGGGGAGCAGAGTAAGCTCCCGCTGTTAGCCCCAGCTTCTGCCAACCTAGCAGTTCAAAAACATGCAAATGTGAGTAGATTAGTAGGTACCACTCCAGCGGGAAGGTAATGGCACTCCATGCAATCATGCCAGCCACATGACCTTGGAGATTGTAGACATCTCCAAGGTCATGTGGCTGGCATGATTGCATGGAGTGCCATTACCTTCCCACCACAACGCCGGCTCTTTGACTTAGAAATGGAGATATGCGCCACCCCCCAGAGTCAGGCTCAACCAGACTTAATGTCAAGGGGAAACCTTCAGCTTTACTTAAAGGATAATATGGAATGGTGATATTGTTTCAATTAGTGGTTAAAGGTAACAACCTGGAATCTATCCCACCATTTCAGCCAAACCTTTTTAAACCAGAGGCCTCCATGTGTGACATCAGCTACTAGATGCAAGACTGTATGGATTTTAATCATATATTTCCAAACTATATGCAGGAATATTGCATTTACATACAAATGTAGTTCTATTCTAAATAAATGACTTGTGTTTACTTCTTCAAATGCAGTACTATTACCACTCATTATATAGGATCAAACCTATAGATTCTAATTTTGCTCTAAGGAGGGTCTATTCTGTAGAAGAAAATTAAAGAAAAAAGCACGCATGGTGTTGCATACCTGAGTATCGGCAGATTTACACTATGTATATATAGTAGATAGCTTAAAACAGATTTAAAAAATATCCAGAGAGCTGCTAATTCAGCATTATCAAAAATGCTTTTCTGCCCCAGGTTTCTATTGATCTCATCTCATGAAAGTGAGCAACAGAAATCAGTTTTCTTGATCTCTGAAAATAGCTGTTGTACACAAAATTGAAACAGGGCCTACATTATAGGCACATATATGGAACTGTACACAGAATGTTGTTTAAGGAAGAATTGGTCTTGTCTCTTGATCCTCATAGAAGTTGTCTATGAAGAGTATTTAAGATGAAGGGATGGAAAACAGGTCTCATCCCAAATTACTTCAGATCATAGTTCTCATCATCTCTCATCCTAAGCTATGTAGGCTAGTGCTGACAGGAACTGAGGTCAAAAAACACCTAGTTTAACAGATATTCTCCAGCTCAATATAAATAGGTATGGCAAAGGAGATGGGAGAGGCAGGGAGCATCCTGAATACTCAGTAAGACAAGTGACACCAATTCTCAGGGAAAGGAGGACAGGAATTGTCCAATAGAAAAGGAAGAGAAAAGGGTCTGTTTACTGTATTGTCGAAGGCTTTCATGGCTGGAATCACTGGGTTGTTGTAGGTTTTTTCGGGCTATATGGCCATGTTCTAGAGGCAATCTCTCCTGATGTTTCGCCTGCATCTATGGCAAGCATCCTCACAGCCTCTGAGGATGCTTGCCATAGATGGAGGCAAAACGTCAGGAGAGAATGCCTCTAGAACATGGCCATATAGCCCGAAAAAACCTACAACAACCCGGTCTGTTTAATGTTTTTAACCCATTTTTTCATACAAATAAAAAAATATATTCATCACATGAAGCTGCCTGTTGGAAGGTGCATTATCCCAGTCTTGAAAATAACAGCAGTAAAGCAGACAAAACAATTTTAGAAAGAGTCAATGTGGAGGTGACAGGTGTACTAAATTCAGAAACTCCAGCTGGTTCAAAATATGGCAGCCAGACTAGTTATGGGAACATCTAGGAGTGAGTATATTACACCTATCCTATAGTCACTTCACTGGCTGCCAATTAGTTTCCAGGCAAAGAATACATTTTGGTTTCGACTTTTAAAGCCCTACATGGTTTGGGTCCAGATTACCTAGAAGATTGCCTTGTCCCGTACAATCCACCCCGAACACTTAGATCCTCCGGGGGTCAGTTATTCCAACTAACCAAAACCTGATTGGCAACCACCACCTGAGGACTTTTTCATTGGCCGCTCCACAACTTTGGAACGACCTGCCTGTAGGGCTCCGACAGCTGGATCAGCTGTCAGAATTTAAGATACAAGTGAAGACTTATCTCTTTTGGCAGGCCTACCCAGACAGTTTTAATGATGAATTTTAAGCTACACTGTATACCTTGTTTTTGTTTTGTGAATTTTGGTATGTATTTTACTGAGGTATGTTTTAATATGTGTATTTTACAAACTGTTTTATGTGTTGGTTTATGTTTTAGTAATGCTGTAACCCACCTCAAGATGTTTAGGTAGCATAAGGAAGGATTAACACTCCTGTTCAAAAGATTTCACCTCACTTTCTGTCTCTGTGATAATTGGAATTTGAAAAAATTGACTTGTTTTGAAAACAAGGGTTGGAGATAAAGATTCCCTTGAGACACCTATTCCCCAGGATAACTCTTCCAAGGGGTAGATTTCTCTCACTTCGTGTTGTCTCGCCCACATTCTTAACTGTAAGTTGTTTGTAAGTGGGATGTTTGTAACGCAGGGTCTGCCTGTAATTCTAAAACCTAAATAGTGGAACAGTGTACAAGCTCACAACATTTTGCTAAATCATTTTTGGCCTCCTAAAATAGCCCGAGAAAGCTACAGAAGAGTTGTCAGGACTTGAAACCATTTTGAAGTCATGCCATCAACTGTCTGACCATACATTACACAAACAAAACCTTTTTTTTTTAAGAACATAAAAGCTCATTTGGTTGGAACACCACATATAGCATTCTGTTTTGACCAATGGCTGATCCAAAAGCTTTTGGAAAGGGCACTATTCCACACTATTTTAAATGCAGATTTCACTTACATTTGGTAGCCAGATGGTGGGCCAAGCCACTGCCTGTTTGCATTGTGTCTTTAAAGTGCAGGGATTGACTTAGCTGCACTTTCCTGATTCACTCTCCTCCTTCTCCGGTGGTTCTTAAACCAAGGCTCGATGGGTACCTTTTAGGAGTGCTGCAGATGTGTACTCCTGTGTGGCAGGGAGTTGGACTAGATGCCTCTTGTGGACCCTTCCAACTCTAGGTAAAGGTAAAAGTTTTCCCCTAACATGAAGTCCAGTCGTGTCTGACTTAGGGGGGTTGGTGCTCATCTCCATTTCTAAGCCGAAGAGCCAGCATTCTCCATAGACACCTCCAAGGTCATGTGGCTGGCATGACTACATGGAGCACCATTACCTTCCCACCAGAGTGGTACCTATTGATCTACTCACATCTGCATGTTTTCGAACTGCTAGGTTGGCAGAAGCTGGGGCTAACAGCAGGAGCTCACCCCGCTCCCCAGCTTCGAACCTGCAACCTTTCGATCAACAAGCTCAGCAGCTCAGTAGTTCCAACTCTAAGGTTCTATTAGTCTATCATTCTGATCTCTGGAAACACTTGGCAAGAGCTTTCTTGGATCAAAAACAAAGTTTAAAAACATACTACAAATAAATTAAAACAAACAAACATATAACTAAACATTCAAGTGAGATGACTACAATTTTGCATGGGTATTATAATTATGGAAAACTGCATTGTCAGAAAGGGGGGGAAACCCATTCTATAAACTGAGCAGAGGAGCAGCAGAATATGATCCATGTATGGAAACCTGAGTTCCCTCTTATTCATATGTCAACAAGAGGTCTTTCACCATATGCCCACCAAAGTTCCATGCACTTTCTTAGAGTGGAATGGTCAATGGCAAAGATAAGAGGAGAGGGAAACTAACAAAAATCAGTAATTATTTGTGTAAGTTACGCATATGCCTGCTGCCAGATGGCTAAAGAGATAAATCAATGCATTCCTGCTTTTGTTATTTCTTTTCGGCATACAGTACTTCAGTACTGATGTTTTGTTTTGTTTTAATTTAAAGGAGTAGAAACACATAGATTTAAATCCTGTACCAAGCTTTTGGGATGTGGGACCTATTAAAACTTAGATCCTTTTAAGGTTTGTAATCCTAAAGGGCACATTGTTTCTCCAGTACTGAGAGGTGCCTACATATTTGTTCTAAATGCATTGGAAGTGTTTCTCTAATGTGGTTTCACGCTTCTGGTATCTTCCCCATATTTTCTTTGAACATGATATCCATAACCCAAGCATATTTGCTACATATGGAGATGAAGTAAACAAAGGTAAAGAAAAAGTTTGGGGAAGCGGCAAAAGTGTTTCTCAAATTGGCTGCTGTGATTTCTGATCCAAGCTGGAAGAACTTCAAAAGAGAAACTGGGGGGGCAGGGGAGAAGGAAAAGAAGACCCTTCCAGGCTATGTTTTATCTTTCTTCAAGTAACACCATACCCTCAAGATGATATAGATTATATTTAATTTAAAAGGCAAACACATTATTTTCAATATAGGCAGCATAAATGTAAAACTAGGATGCAGCATAAATATTTATTGCAGTGGCTTTGTATTCGTCGCTGTGAATATCATTGCCCCTAAAGTAGTCTCTTCCTCTGAAACATTTTGTACTCTGGCAATGCAACATAATAACAGAAATGAAATCTGAGTGGAAACAAACATAGTTTCTTACTCCACCGCAACACTTTCTGCATTTACAGCCAACCAAGCAACGTTGTACTCAGAGCAAGCATTTCTTACAAAAACAAGTAATTTTGTCTTTATGAGCCGGCTTCAATAAGACTCTGGTCACAGTGGGAGAGAGCAAGCACCACGGTTGAGGTGCTCTTGTTTTAAAAGGGACAGACAGAAAAAGCACGTTAGTTTGAAGCATCTAGCGGAGGTACCGCAAGTCTTCTGTCGTGGAATTTAAGGTACAGGGCAAGCTTGCCAAATGTCTGAAAAAGGATGTTTTTTACTTTTTAAAAAAACTATTCCCACAACAGAAGCGAACATGAGAAAACCTGAGATTATCATGTGGTAATGTATTGTCAAAGGCTTTCATGGTTGGAATCACTGGGTTGTTGAAGGTTTTTCAGGCTGTATAGCCATGTTCTAGAAGCATTATCTCCTGATGTTTTGCCTGCATCTTTGGCAGGCGTCCTCAGAGGTCGTGAGGTCATGTGGAACAACATGTGGTATTTGGAACAACTGTCATGTCTGGAAAGGGTAGTAAATAGGACTTTTTATCCATTCCCAATTTTTCCAAGCATTTGCTCTCAGAATGGGCCAAAATATGTCACTATTTAATTATTTTAAGTTTCACACTCTCATATATGTGAGAACTATAGACATTGAAGACTCTTGTTACAAGCCTGATTGTCATTTATTTATTATATATTTGTGTGTGTGTGTGTGTGTAGATATATGTATATGTATGTACGTCTATATGAATTACATTATGATTTGACCAATAGCACTGACACTATCAATCTCAATATACTTAAAATGACCTCAACTGGATGTTATAAAAGTTCATTTTCAAATAACAACTGAGTAGGTGAAAACTCTGAATCAACCACTAATAGATACTCCTAGGACTCTTACCAGATACTGAAGACGCTGTCTCTCTGTTTCTGGAGTGAACTCTGATGACATCGGAATGACTTCTCCATTTCGGACTATTATAGCCCTGTAATAGCCAGAAGACACAGTGAGGGAATGCTGCACAGTCTCTTTAAGGGAATACAGCTATTTTGAAAATGGAAAGTGACTTCTCATTCCATTCCGCAGAACAGATAAAACATATTTTGTTTCTTTTCTCACTGCTGAGAAAACAAAACACTTGGTCTGTTTTGCTTACACTGAATGTTAGAAAAAAATCTATTGACCCAGGACATTACAAGGAGATCAAAAGCACACATTCCTGAATATCCCTTTGCGGTTTTGACCCCTTTGGTACCTTCAAATCCTCTGGTTTGAGATAGAATCATAGAACCATTGAGTTGGAAGAGCCATTCTGTCCAACCCTCTGCCATGCAGGAAAACACAATGAAAGCACCCTTGACAGATGACCATCCAACTTCTGCTTAAAAACCTCCAGAGAAGGAGACTCCACCACGTTCCCAGGCAGCATATTCCATGACCAAGCAACAATTCCCATCAGGAGGTTCTTCCTAATGTTTAGGTGGGATCTCTTTTTCTCCGATTTGAATCCATTGTTCCTTGTTCCTTACAGCAGTAGAAAACAAGCTTGCCTCCTCCTCAATATATCTCTTCAAGTATTTAAACATGGTTATCATGTCTCCTCTCAATTTTCTCCAAGCTAAACAGATCCAGCTCCCTAAGCTGATTCTTTCTGGGCTTGGCTTCCAGACCTTTTCCCATTTTGGTTGTCCTCCTCTGGAAACATTCTAGCTTATTAATATCCTTCCTGAATTATGGTGCCCAGAACTGGACACAATATTCCAGGTAAGATCTGACTAAAGTGGAATAGATACAGAAGCACATGAGTCAAGCAAGCTCCTGTCCAGTCACTGGTTGGTCAAATATGCTATAACACACCTGCTTTACCAACAAAAAGACACAGCAAAGCAAATATACTTTAAACACAAATGCAACTAATGCAACAAACAGAGAGAGCAAATGATGAAATTCACTAGGCAGCTGGAAAACAAATACACCAAGTATAGCTAGTGTCTATCATTTATATGCACAAATATGACACCGAATCACCTGTTGACTTATGGTGACATGAATTTCAAACCCCCTTTTCAAGCAAGGGAGATTTGTTTACAATATAGTCTGAATATATTCTACAGCACCTGGTAATTGTTGGTGGACTCCCACCCAAATACTAGCCAGGGTTGACCCATCATAGCTTCCAAGAACAAACAGGATCTGATACCTTTAGGGAGTTTAGATCTCAATACATCAGTGCTTCCCAACCTTTTTTTTTTGACCAGGGGCCACTTGACCAAGCACCACTTTGACCAGGGACCACTTGAACAGGAATTACTCTCCAACATTAGTACCAAAAGGTTTACCAATCAGTTTTTGGTCTACTTTAGATTTGGTTTGGTTATTTGGGGTGCTGATTCAGAAAATTACATTGGATAGACCACATCAGCTCTACTTTCTGATATAGAACATATGCCATCCAGTAGTCGCCATCTGCTTGCCCACAGAAAACCATATTTAATAATCTAGAGCTGATGGGGTAGCAGTAATCTTTTGTGGGTAGTCAGCGTCTCCCCTCATGACATCCCTATTGCCTTGGCACTATAAGAGGGCTTTGCGAGACCAGTCGCTCTCATTGCCCTGTGATTTCGAGGCAATGGTGTAATAGTGGTGAGGCTGCAGACTATATTTTCATTCTTGCAGACCACTGGTGGTCCACAGACCACAGCTTGGGAACCACTGCAATACAGACATACACCTCATCAGCCACATTACAAAATTCAGCTGATTTTCCCTATCAACCTTCCTAAGCTAATGAGCCATATAAACAAAACTCATCATATTTTTCAATGGCTACTTCAGACCAAAGCACAATTCCTTCACAGAGCGTAGTTCTACATGTGAACTAGAAATATGCATTTCCTACACAGAAGAGTATGAGCATGCAAGGTAAGGAACAGAAATGAGGCAATGGGAAGTTAAGGAAATAAAAGGCACAGAAGTAACCTGGAATGAACAAGACAATGTTCTTTAGAAGAACGAATGAAAACAGAGTTTCTGTTTACAAAGAAGAAGAAAACATGTGGGACCCACAAAATCTATCTCACAGTAAACTTAGTTGATCAGAGGGTAATAAAGGCAGGAGTAATTTATCTGTTCTATTTTTCTCTGCAAGCAAAACATTTGAAGTAATGTTTCAAGCAAAAGCTACATTCTAGCACATTTTGCCGGCATTAACAAATAGACAATGTCCCATTACATCGAACAGAAATAAAAGGATACAACTGATGCAAACTTTTTGAAGGACTGATTGTGCCCAAAGGAGATGACAAACTTGATGAAACAGAGTATAGATATAAAATGCTTGCTAAATTAAGAGACAGACATTCAACCAGTTTTCTTTGTCCAGAATAATGATGTTATTCATATTTAAACACTGTACAAAAGGGAAAATGGACCTCACCCAAGGCTTAACCACCACCCAAAAACATTAAAGGCATTAAAGAAAAGCACAAAAGAGGGGGGGGGGGGGCAGTTTTTAAAAGCTGTTGTGAAAAAGAGTGTCAAACAGACACTGGGTTGCCACTAAGTGTTGAAGCAAATCAGATGTAATAGCATTTCACAGTAGCTGGAAGAGGCAAGCTGGGTGAAATAAAATGATATCTTGAAAGCCTTCTGCCAAAGAATGCTGATGCTTCAGCAAACTACAAATCCCAGCACTGCATAGCTTTGAGCCAAGGAAATTAAATTAGAGACAATGACCCTCAAAGAGGAGCTCCAGGTGCAGCTCCTGAAGTACCGTAGTTTTCTCTTTTGCTTTGGCTTAGCACTAAGATTACCATATTATGAAAATCTAATACGCCCTTTGGGGGGAGAAGGGCAGGGTATAAATATAGGAAATAAATAAATAAATAATGTGCAACATAATTTTAAAGAGGTAATTTAGCAAAAAAAAAAATGATGAGCATTAGAACTGAGTAAATTGGGTAGTTATTCTAGTTCCCAGAAAACAGAACCTTCTAAGTCTAAGACAAGACAATATAATGTGGTGGCCAGGCCAGTTTTTTTTCCTATTGCTACTGCAAATATCAAGCTGACAGTTCAGCAAAATGGATATAAATTTTTGAAAAAAAGGACAAGATAATGATCAGCTTAAGACAGATTTAAAATGTTCTTTAGACAGGCCTTGTTAAAGGCCTTTTAAATGACCTTGCACAGGCCATGTGGCATGTTCACAGAGCTATGTGTCATTCACAGCCACTGCCATATTTCTTTTATGACATTCAAACTGATCCTGGCCACTCATCCCGACAGACACTTGCCCAGGCTTCTCCAACACCTGGCAGTAACAGTTCTGTTGCCAGCCTCAATGAGCCAATTCTGCAGAAAATGCTTTAAAATTAATTAACTTTCAAATGCATACACAATAAAAACTTAAAATCACTTTAAAAAAGAGAAGCAATGAGTCAAGCTAAGTACAGACAGTTCCCAAGTTACGAACAAAATAGGTTATGTAGGTTTGTTCTTAAGTTGAATTTGTTAGTAGGTCGGTACATGTACATATTTAAGTGTAACTCCAGCCCATAATATATACCCTATTTTAGCTTTGAATATCATAGGAAAGGGTTAACACCCCTGTGGTGTTTATTTTGCTGCATCTGCCCCAGTTCAGAAGATTTCACCTCATTTTCTGTCCCTGTGAGAATTGGATTGGTGATACAGGGTCCATCCAGACAGGCCCAAAAACTGGGACCCATCTTTGTTTTACTGGAGGCACCCAAATAATGCCTCCAGTAAAGCCAAATTAATCTGGAACAAACCAGGTTTTCTTTGTTTCTGAATTAATTAAATACTTGCAAAGATTTAATCTTATGGTATAAGATTCAGATCTTACCAGGTGTGGGCCCTGTGTGGACTGGACCTGGGGACCACATCATTCAATCCCCAAGCCCACTCCACACAAGCATCAAGGTTTTTCGCAGTTCAGAAGTCCAAAAAACTGAGAGGATACTCACCCTCCCAAACCCTAAATAAACCCATAAAAAGTAAATAAAATGTACCTGACTGCCATTATGTTCCTTCTCACGCCCTCCTGGCAGGAGGAAATGATGTGCCAGGAGACCAGGAAGGGGGATTTTCCTCCTTGCTCCCCACATCTCCCACATCTCCTGGCATGAGGCGGAACATAATGGTGACCAGAACATTTTATTTATCTTTTAGGGAAAATTGGAGGTGGGGGGTGGGGGTGGCTGCATGCCATTCCAATTGTAATTGGGATGGCATGTAGCCACAGACACACACACATATCCCGAGAAAGCATGGGGATTTGGGGCCTGTCTAGAAGCACCTAAAGCTTCAATTGAGACACCTTTTCCCCATGTTAACTCTTTCAGGAATGAATTTGCCTTTCTAGAGGTAAATTTGTCTCACTTCCTGTAGTCTCACCCGCGTTCTGAATTATGAGTTGTTTGTAAGTTGGATGTTTGTAACTCATGGACTGCCTATCCACTGATGCTATTACAGGTTGAGTATTCCTTATCTGAGATACCTTTTCCATATGATAACACTTTTAAGAGTGAATTTCCCTTCACTTCCTGTTGTCTCACCCCCGTTCTTAACCTTTTTATCAGATGAGCTCCCTCTGTCAGCTCCAGCTCCCCATGTGGAGACATGAGAGAAGCTTCCCACAAGGATGGTAAAACATCAAAACATCCGGGCATCCCCTGTCCTTGCAGATAGCCAATTACCTCACACGAGAAGTGACTTGCAGTTTCTCTAGTTGCTCCTGACACACACAAAAAATGATACATCCAATCATTTAACAGGCTTTCCTATATAGATCTTATCTCACTATACATTGTTCCAAGCTTCACTTTGCAATATTAACCCCCATTCTTAATGATGGCTCATTTGTAAATCAGATGATTGTAACTCAGGGACTGCCTGTATTTTGTTTGAGTGGTACCACTAACCAGGAATAATAAACATTTGCTTCATACAGAGCCACTTTAT